GTCTAATATTATGAACATATGGTACTTGTTCTGAAGTGCTGGTCTGTTCAACCATAGGTTCTGATGAACTGGGTGCCTCCACAGGATGTGTAATCACATTATCATCTGAATTAGGCACTTCTACCTCTCCTTCCATGCCTTCTTCCAAGCGTTCATTTTCTCCTTGTCTCCTACGTCTAGCCATTTCAATTGTCCCACCGGACGTGCCAAAAATATATATTGGCTTTTTGGCTTTTCGAGTGTTATTTTTGTAATTGCGAGCGTGCCAGCAAGGATCAATCAATCCTTACAGAAATTTAATTGTCAACCAATTATCAGGCGATTGTATTTTAGTTCTCTCAGCCTCAATAAAGAGGATTTTTACTGGTGGCTTGATTTAGGAGAATTAAACAAAATATCAGTGAAATGAAGAACAATTGAAGCATTTCATTAGAATGAAAAACTTACAATGATCCAAACTCAGCCTTGTAGAGGTTTACAATGACAATCTACTTGAAACTACTCCTATGAACGAAGTGCAGTGCAGGAATTTAAAGTACAAGAATGTAAGGAACAGGAATGTAAAACTAGTAAGAAAAATTAAGTAAAGTAGAATAAGACTGATTCTTTTGAATTGAGTCCGGGGGTTTTTCTAGGGCCTTCTCTGCTATTTATACTGCTCGAGGATGACTATCAAACTGCACTTCCAACCGTCGAACTGCTCCTCCATGATTGCTGATCATGTTGCCTCAAGATTAGCTTGAAGTTAGGCTTCCCTCATAAAGTTGAATTTAAATGTGAGTAACCGTTGATGCCACATCACTTTGTATCTCTTTGTTGATCCACTGCTACTCAGATCTTGTAATAACCAATACTAACTGCCACGTGTACGATCAGGATTGAAGACTTGAATAATCTTCCTATATTACCCTTATTTTGCCACGCGTCGAATTGTAATTGGCTTGCACAAAATATGTAGCCAACAAAGCCATAATCATTTTATTTACTCTCACAAAAGTTTAAAAAACTAAAAACTTAACCCAAATGAGACTTTTTAACTTCAGACTAAAAAGGCCAAAAAGCTAACATACTTTCCAAATGAAGCCTAAAATTTAACATTTTGATACTATAATAATATCAAAATTTAATTGGGACCATCCATTTTAACATTATAGCATTGGAGATGCTCGAATAGGCCTTATCATTTATATTTTTACTAATGCTGTGGTAATACATCACATAATAAATATGATTTCTACTAATATTGTGATGATACATTAAAGGGTTGGTCTAATAAGTATAACTTGAGGCACTCTCTTTTTTTCTTTTTTTTTAGTTTAAAGGGTTGTTTGAAATGTTCTATATAAGTGCACTTTTGACTTTTTATAAAATATGGATTCGATTTGAAGTGATATAGTAGAGATATGATATAACTTAAATAGAATAGTGACTTTTTGACTTTTTAACTTTTTCATGGGATGCCAAACCAAGACTTAGGGTTGGTTTGGGGTGTCCTAAAAAAGTGTACTTTTTGTCTTTTTACGAAAAGATGTGCGAAAAAGTAGAGAGATGATGTGATGAAAAAAATATAAAAAGATAAAAAGATGAATTATATAGTCTATGCTAAACCAACCCTTTATACAAGACATTTTCCTCGACATAAATGTGTAATTATGACACGGTTTGATTATGGTCTCCACTCAACCACCAATGAATCCATCGGAGTAGTTGCCTTGTAAAACACGAGATGCATTAATATATAATCCAAGTCAAGTCTACACATTTATACGTGGGGTTACAGTCAAGTTCACTTTTCAAGCCAAGTCTTTTAGGAAAAAATTGCAGAAGCTCACTTTATAGAATCAGGATCCCTGAGTTGTCTACTTGACTTGCTATTTGTTGGGTTATTGGGTCTAATTTTGATGATTTAAACTGTTCATATTTTAAGTAGGAAACTCAATGAGGGGATCCTAGTTCCACTTTATAGTAGTCATACTTTAGAAAAAGAAAGAAAAAAAAAATACATTTAGCTGGTTTGGTTTTTATTTTCAAAAAACACTTTTCAGAAAATTGTAATTTTTTATTTTTCATATATTTTTTTCAATGATTTTTTTTATATTTTAAGTAATATTTTTTTTTAGACACACCTAACATAAATACTCTTAAAAAGTGTAATATTTGTAAAAAAAAATCTTTAAAAAATTCACTAAATATCAAAAATACAAAAAAAAAAAAAAAACAATTTTTTTTTACATTTTTCATATTTTTGTGTATTTTTTAATTTTTTGAAATATTTTTTCACAAATATTTTACTATTTAGATACAATTAAGTAAGGTGTATCTAAAAAAATAAAAATAAAAATTATTTAAAATTTTAATAATATTTATTAAAAAAATACGAAAAATAAAAATTTCGATTTTCTTTTTTATTTTTTATTTTTTATTTTTTTGGTGATATGTTGGTCTTCCACCTATATGCCAAATTTTAACATATTTTTCTCATTCACAATGAAACTTATTAATGGCATTTTAATTTGAATTGTGTGTGTGTGTGTGAAAAATAAAAGAAATAGCTAGTACATCAATGAAGTCACATTACTAAGCCCTTGTTTGGCACGGTACTATCAGGTTAAAATAGTTGTAAAAAGATAAATTAAATTAAAAAGTCAATAAGACAAAATATCACATCTAAATCATAATCATTTCATTTACTCTCACTATAGTTTAAAAAACTAAAAAACCAAATCCAAACGAGACTTTTTAACTCCAGACTAAAAAAGTCAAAAACTAATCCACTTTCTAAATGAAGCCTAAAATTTAAAATTTTGATACTATAATAATTTCAAAATTTAATTGGGACCATCCATTTTAACATTATAGCATTGGAGATACTCAAATAGGTCTTACCATTTATATTTTTATTAATATTGTGATGATACATCACATAATAAATATGATTTTTATTAATATTATGATGATATATTAAGGAATTGGCCTAGTGAACATAACTTTAGACATTTTTTTTTAATTTTAGGTTTGTTTATACAGGACATTTGCCTCGACTTAAATATATAATTATGACACGGTTTGATTGTGGTGTCCGCTCAACCAACAATAAATCGGTCGAAGTAGTTGGCTGACTTGTCATTAATATAAAATCCAAGTCAAGTCTATAATTTATACAAGGGGTTATAGTCAAGTCTACATTTCAAGTCCAGTCTTTTAGGAAAAAATTGCAGAGGCTCCCTCATAGTCAAGTCATACCTTAGAAAAAGAAAGAAAAGAAAAAAAATATATATTTAGATTGTTTTCTGTTTATTTTTTATTTTTTTGGTGATAAGGTGGTCTTCTACCTAAATGCCAAATTTTGACATATTTTTCTCATCTACAATGAAACTTAATGGCATTTTAATTTGAATATTTTTTTGTGTGTGAAAAAAATAAAAGAAATAGCTAGTACACCAATGAAGTCACATTAGTGCCCTTGTTTGGCATGGGATTATCATGTTAAAATAGTCACAAAAAAATAAATAGGTTAAAAATTTAATAAGACAAAATATCACTATGAATCATAATCATTTCATTTTTTTCTCTCACAAAAGTAAAAAAAAAAATTAAAGAAAACCCAATCCAAATGAGACTTTTTAGCTCCAGAGTAAAAAAGCCAAAACACTAACCCATTTTCCAAACGAAGCCTAAAATTTAACGTTTTGATACTATAATAATATCAAATTTTAATTGGGACCATCCATTTTAACAGTATAGCATTGGATAGGGCTAGGCATAGGGTTATCTGAACCGCACAACCCGTCTAACCTGAACCGATCAGCATACAAATGGGCAGCTTCGCAGACACAATACGAGCGGATGCAATTTGGAATATGACATTATTGCAGATTGCGGGTTTTACCTACACCCGCAAGAATCTGCTCGTACTTAGACTTTTTTTTTTTTTTTTTAATAATTGAGTTTGCAAGTTTGCAAATGTTTTTATTTTATTTAATAAATTTGAATTGAATGAAATTTGACAACAATTTATTGTTATTTTATTATTACATATTGGATGAATGTAAAAGTTAATAAATAATTACTTTTAAGTAAGTTTATGATTTTGAATGATTTTATTTTAATTGTATTGTTGGATAGTAAATGATTTTGATGATTTAATTTAGGATTTTAAAAGATGTGTTTGTGCTAATATTGTGGTGATACATCAAGGGGTTGGCCTAGTGAGTATAACTCTAGTGAATACAACTTTGGGGCACTCTTTTTTTTTTGGTCAATTTATACAAGACATTTGCTTGGGCTTAACTGAGCCCCAACAAGTAGATTGTAGAATTAGTTAAAGTGCACATAAACTGACTTAGACATCCGATTATCAAAACAAACAAATAATAAATAAAATAAGATAAGAAAATAAGTTATCATACCATTATGAGTAAATCACACTTGGAAGCCCCGCAATCCACTTTATCTCATTACATTTAAAAAGTGAAGGTCAACTATTTAGACTTTCGGTTAAGTTTCAATCTAACGCATCTATTAGTCGAGATTAAATCAACAAACGGAAAATTATTATAAAATTGTGTATCGCTTTTTTACCTATAAAAAAAAGTAATCAACACTTGTTAGCAAAATAAAGAGTAATCAATATTTGTTAACAAAGTAAACAAATAAAATAAAGGATAATCAACATTTGTTAACAAATTAAACAAAATACAAATAATCAACATTTGTTAACAAAATAAACAAAAAACAGAGTAACTAACAAATTTTTGAATGAAGTCCAAAAATAAAAATAAAAATAAAAAAACACCCGGAATTAACATTTTTTCAAGAAAATCAATAATTAATGTATCAAGAGAGAGCAATGTAATTATGTTGAAAGTGTTGAATTAATTGTATTTTTTTTAAAAAAAACTTTAGCGGAAGTGAGTGTAATTTACGGTGACATTATTGTTTTGGTTATAAATTCTCAATTACGAGACAAATGGTGTTATGAACCAAAGTGGCTACTTGTATTGGAAGCCTTCTTTACATTTGTAAGTCTCTACAAGTCTCGTGGTGGGTGGCCAACAGAAATTTATGGTTCTGTTTCCTTGTTAAACCTCTGTGTGTGTGTATCCATGTTTAGGGGAAGGCTCCTCTTTGCTGCTGGTTACATAAGCCTTCTTATTCATGTTCTCTTTTGTGTAAATTGTTGTAATTCTTCTTCTTGTGGAGATATCCATAACATCACTTTCCCCTTTCGACTCAAATCCGACCCAGTTGATAATTGTGGATACAAGTATGTGGAACTTGAGTGCGAAAACAATCGGACAGTACTACACTTGTTTTCTGGTACATACTACGTGCAGGCCATCAACTATGATGAAACTTACTACAACAACGGCCACAGCGGCCACAGCGGCGGCCACATCAGCCTGGTGGATGTGGGGATACAGAGGAATAATTGCTCTTCTGTTCCTCTTCATTCTTTAACTCGTTATAACTTTACTGAAACATTAGATCTCATACATTACAGTATTGAGAATTCAGAATCATTTGTAGCGTTAGTGAGTTGTGAAAAACCAGTGAAATCTCCTATCTACATACACACTACTAGTAATATTAGTACTGCTTTCTGTGAAAACAAAGGAGGACGAGGAGGAGGTGGAGAAGGAGGAGTCAGAGGTTCGTCATCGTCGAAAAAGCATTCATACGTTCTGGTCCCAAACGACTATTATCTTGATTGGTCAATTGTTGCAAACTTATGCAGCGTCGACATGCTTTTTCCGAGAAGGCTGTTTCAGCTTCCAGAAGGTCCTTTAATAGAACGTAACATGACCAGCTTGTTGGAGGTCCACAACGCGTTGGCCGATGGATTTGATCTTCACTGGCATGTCGACATCGACGAATATTGCAGACGTCAAGCACTTTGCTCCTCCAATCATACTCAAAATTTAACCGCGGCCGTTTGCCGAAAGGATGGTGTGTACGTCCAAAACACCCTTCTTTTTTTTTTTTCTTTTTTTTTTTTTTTTTTGAAGGAAAATGTTTGGTAGTTTAAAATTTTGTGGCTCAAATGGCTCAAATCTGTTAAAACGACGTCGTTTTACACTTAAAATCTGTCAAAACGACGTCGTTTTAAGTAATTTGAGTCATTTAAGCTACAAAATTTTGAGCTACCAAGCATTGTTATTTTTTTAATCTTATTTTATTATTATCAAATAAAAAAAATATGGAGAAATAATCTCTTCTAACAAAATAAATACTCCTTCAGTCCTAAAATAATGGACTCTTTTTGGGGAATTCAACTTTTTTTGATAGTACAATTATTGCATTTGAAAAAAGTTGATTTTTCAAAATTATCCTTTTAATAGTATATTTTTTGAGAATATCAATGTCATAATTGTACTTTTTATATTGTTTATTAATTTAAAAGGGCAAAATAGGAAATTCATATTATTTTTGTACTTGATTTTTGAAGAGGGACTAATATTTTGAGACAATGAAAAATAGAATAAGAGACTAATATTTTGGGATGGAGGGAATATTGAGTTTTTAATTTTATCAATTTAAATCCTAATTTCTAAAAAGAAAAAATTCTCAATGTAAATTATTCACTTAATTTTGTTAAGTAGAACTAGCAAAAAAATGATATTTTAATCATTAAAATCGATGAAATCTATATAAAATGTCTAAAATACTTTTTTATGCCCAATTTCACTTATAAAAAATGGGTAGATAATTAAGATTGAAAATAAATCAAAAGATTTAGAATTTAAATTGATAAAATTAAAAATGTACAATTTATTTTGTTATAAGGGTAGAACCCTGCCTTATTTTTGTAATTTTTTCAAATAATATTACATGGAGTTGCTTATAATTTGCATCTCCAAAAAAATGCACATGCTATACACTTTCATTATTTTTTTTTATAAAATTTCGTAACATGGATTATAACATGTCATAATTTTTCTCACCACAAAAGTTACTAAAACTTTTCTCTCCTTAATGTCATAACAAAAATTACAAAGTGTCATAACAAAAATCACTATGTATTACAATTTTACCATTCATAACTTTAAGATATACACCATAAATTTATTAGTCGTAACTTTACCACGAAGTATCATATTACATATCACAAGCATTCATCACTTTCATTTCTTTCCATATGCACTTTTTTAGGAACGTATGCTATACAATTTTTTTTTTTTCTATATTACAATAAAATTCAATAACCGTACCTACATACAATTATGGAAAGAAAAAAAAAATATCTTTCAATAACAAAATATATTGTATGCATAAAAACCCTCACTATATGTATATGTGTAGAATTTATTTTGAAATAAGAAATTACATTTAAAAAGTGAGTTTTTCTATTCTACATATTAGTGATGAGCTGATATCACCCTTACAAAAATACGAAAGATACACATGGTGTATCTTTATTTGTAGAAATTCAAAGTTCCGCATAGTTTATTTGTACAAATTCAAAAACAATAAGCTAGATGGAACACATAATTTTGAAATGATAGACAATACAAGGTTGTAAATTTAAATGAGGAATCAGGCTTTGGGCTTAACTAGTTAATTTCTACTAGTTTCTATCAGTCTCATGTTCTCGTTTTCACATTAATATCCTCTGTATTTCAAGGGGATTAGTAATGTTTTTGATCTCTAACACTATTTATTCTTTCAAAAATTGCAGATGGGTTGAAACATTATGACTTGAAGTGTAAGTATTTTCCCCTCCTCCATCTATATCTATTTCATTTCTAAGCAATCACATAACGTTTATTGTTAGGATTAAGGCACACTAGAAATCAATTGCACACGGAAAAGAGACAAGAAATTTACGTGGTTCGGCAATAGCCTACGTCTACGGGAGAGATATCCACTATAGAATTTTTTGGAGGGAGTTTACAGCACTCACACCTCACTCTCTCTCTCTCTATAGTACTCTCACTCTCTTACACAGATTATACACTCTGTGTCTCCTTATTTTTCAGACCCTCCTCCTCACCTCAATTTATACACAACTGAGGGAATACAAAGTCAAGAAAAATTATTAGGCTGCCAACTGCCAAATGCCATCTTCCCTCTTTGACTTGGAGCAAACCAGCCAACCTCCAACTACTCATCCATGTGGGCTGGAACAGCTAACAATTCTCCCACTCCACGCCCATATGGATAACTGACTTCTTTACTTGAAGTCCATCTCGGTCAAATTCTTGCAAACTTCTAGTTTGTCTCTGGTGACAACCCTGGTCATCATGTTAGAAGGATTCTTGTCCATGTGAATCTTCACCAGCTTCATCACTGCTTTTCCATCACTTCTTGTATCCAATGATACCGGACATCAATGTGCTTTGTACGGGAATGATACATGGAATTCTTGCTCAGATCAATTGCACTCTAACTATCACAATGTACCTTGTACTTTTCCTGCTGTAGACCCAATTCTTGGAGAAACTACTTTAACCACAACATTTCTTTTCCAGTATCTGCGGCAGCAATGTACTCTGCCTCTGTTGTAGATAAAGCAACACACTTTTGTAGTTTGGACTGCCATGAAATAGCTCCCCCTGCAAAGGTGAATAAAAATCCTGATGTAGACTTTCTACCATCAAGATCACCCGCCATATCGGCATCTGTAAAACCCTTCAAAATTGGTTCAGCTCTCCCAAAACATAGACACATCTTTGAAGTTCCCTTCAAGTACCGAAGAATCCATTTAACTGCCTGCCAATGCTCCTTTCCTAGATTGGCGAGGAATCTGCTCACTACGCCAACTGTGTGAGCTATATTTGGCTAGGTACACACCATTGCATACATCAAACTTCCTACTGCGGAAGAATAAGGGATTGCCTCAATTTCTTTCCTTTTAGAGCTGGTCGTGGGACACGAGCGCTTTGTCACCTCAAAATGGTTGGCCAGTGGTATGTTGACTAGCTTGGCATCTTTCATGTTGAATCTTTTAATCACCCATTCAACATATTTCTCCTGTGACAATCATATCTTCTTGGCTTTCCTGTCATAAACAATCTTCATGCCCAAAATCTGCTGTGCTGGGCCTAAATTCTTCATGTCAAAATACTGCGACAAGTCCTTTTTCAACTTGTTGATCATAGCAATATCATGTCCGATGATCAGCATATCATCAACATACAACAGTAGGATGATGAAGTTTCTATCCGAAAACCTTCGGAAATATACACACTGGTCTGCTACTGTTCTTGTATACTCGTGATCCACCATGAATGAATCAAACTTCTTGTACCATTGTCTTGGAGCCTGTTTCAAATCATAAAGACTCTTCTTCAGTTTGCAGGCTAGATTTTGTTTTCTTTTAACTTTAAATCCTTCTAGTTGTTCCATATAGATCTCTTCCTCCAAATCACCATGGAGAAAGGCAGTCTTGACATCTATCTGTAGTATCTCCAAATTCAAGCGAGCTATTAATCTTAGAGCTACTCGAATGGAAGTCATCTTCACAACTGGGGAGAAGATCTCATCAAAGTCAATATTTTATGCTGCCTAAAACCTTTGACCACTAAGTGAGCTTTATGCTGCAATATTTTACCGTTGCCATCTTTCTTCAATTTGTACATCCATTTGTTTTTCAAGGCTCTCCTGCCTCTTGGAAGTGGAACAAGCTCATAAGTGTGGTTCTTCTGTAAAGAACTCATCTCCTCCTTCATGGCTTGTATCCAATAGTCTTTCTCTATATGACACTTTGCTTTTGAAAAACTCTCGGGCTCTCCCTATCAATAATCAGAATATATTGAGAAGCGGGATATTTGGTTGATGGCACGACAGCTCATTCAGATCTCCACAACTGAGGCCCAGTTGCCTCTGGTTGAGGGGGTTGCTCCCCCTGCTCAACACCCTCTTCATCCTGGTCTTCATCTATTTCCTCTTGATCCTCAATTTCTGGCATAGGATCCTGCAACTCTGGCACTTCTTGTTGCACATCATCACATCTAGCATTTTGTAATGGCTCGGGAGATGAGAACAAGTCTGGAGTGATAACATCTCTAGACTTTGCAGACTTCTCAAAATCTGCTACTGTCTGGTCTTCTTGGAACACAACATCTCTGCTCCTGAACATCTTCCTGTTCACTAGGTCCCACAACTTGTACCCAAATGCTACATCTGAATAGCCCACAAATATAAATGGAGTGGGCTAGTCATCAAGCTTCTATCTGTTTTCCTTGGAGATGTGTGCGAACGCCTTATACCCGAAGACTCTCTAGTGAGAATATGATATATTTCTTCTAGACTAGACTTCCTCAGGTATTGCAAAATTCAACGGAACTGAAGGCGACCTGTTGATAAGATAACAGGCTGTACGAGCGGCTTCAGCCCAGAATGACTTTGGCAACTTTGCCATTCTGAGCATGCATCTGACTCTTTCAACAAAAGTGCTGTTCATCCTTTCTGCCACACCATTGTGTTATGGGGTACCGGGAACTATTGTCTTGTACTGGATACCTCTACTGGCACAATATGCTTCAAAAGCATTGGAAGTGTACTCGCCACACTTCAACTTCTTCCTAGTCTCTTTTTCTACCATTGCATGGAACTCCTGAAAGTACTGGAATACCTTATCCTTTGTCTTCAAGAAATACACCCACAATTTCCTTGATGCATTATCAATGAAAGTCAAAAAATACTTGCGACTGCCAAGTGACTCCACTTCGATTGGGCCACAAATATCCGAGTATACCATACCGAGCACTTCCTTCTTCCTCTTGCTCGTTGAACTGAATGATACTCGATGCTGCTTGCCATAAAGGCAGTGATCACACAGCTTTAGGGCACTCCCTTTGGATAAGGGTATCCTGGATTGCTTTGCCAACAGATGCAATCCTTTCTCACTCATGTGAGACAATCTTCTATGCTATAAGTCCGGTGACTCCTTGTCTTCTGTTGCATTAAGACTTCCCAGACAGATCTTCGTTTGAGTCTTGTACAGTGTTAAAGACATCTCTCCTCTGGCGATCGTCAAAGCTCCTCTTGTTAGCTTCCAACGGCTATTTCCGAATGTACTTGTATAGCCCTATTGGTCTAGGGCGCTTCCGGGGATAAGATGGAGGCGCAAATCTGGAACATGCCTCATATCTTTGAAAACCAGCTTGTGTCCAACATTATTCTGAATACTAATGTCACCAATGCCCACAATCTTTGAACAACTAGAATTTCCTATTCGAACAGTCCCAAAATCTCTAACGTTGTACGAGATGAAGAGTTCTCTGTGGGAAGTGGTGTGATAGGATGTAGCTGTGTCTATCACCCACTCTGTATAGCTGTGTTTAGCCACGTGAAGGTAATCTTCCTCTTCACCAATTGCAAGAAGTATTTCATCAGTTGTTGTGGTTGTTGTGTTCTCATCTCCCTTTGACTTACTGCTTTGGCCTTTATCTTTCTGGTTTGGACAGTTCCTCTTTATGTGACCCTCTTGACCATAGTGAAAGCAAGTGAAGCTAGAGTTGACTTTTATTGTCTTTGGATTTATCCCTATTGTTCCATTTGCCTCTGCTCTTGCTTCTTCCTCTGCCTCTTCCTCTACCTTTGTCTCTGCCTCTATCTTCTGTGACAAGAGCATGGGACTGATTACCTCTCATGTCTTTCCTTCTTGTCTCTTCATTGTACATGGCATCTGTGACCATGCTCATGGTTAGCTTTCCCTTTGGTGCAGAGTTACTGAGAGAAACAACCAACGTCTCCCAGCTGTCCGGTAAAGAACTGAGTAGTAGAATGACTTGCATTTCATCATCCAAGGGCATCTTGGCGGTTGCAAGTTGATTCACCAGATTCTTGAATTCATTGGTGTGCTCGGCTACCGACACACCATTCTTCAACTTTAGATTTACAAGCCTTCTCATCACTAAGGCTTTGTTTTGGGCAGTCTTTGACTGGTGCATTCCTTTTAACATTGTCCAAAGGACGTATACATTTGTCTCCTGGGAAACATAGTGGAACACACTATGGTCTATCCATTGTCTGATATAATCGACAATCTTCCGATTCATCTTTATCCATTCTTCATCCTTCACTGCTTCCGGTTTAACCCCCTTGAGAGCAATAGGGTCAAATAGGTCTTTATAATATAGGATGTCTTCCATCCGAGGCTTTTAGACTGCATAATTGGAAGGATTCAACTTGATCATGGATCCTGAAGTTGATGTGAATTTCTCCATCGTCTTCTTACCTTTTTACAGAAACTCTAATTCAAAAATCTAACTGTACGGATCTCTCTGAAATACTCCACATAGTTGGAAACCACTATTAGATCACTAAAACCGAACTTCAAATGGCTCAGATCTAACCAAAATATGTTCAACGATTCAGATCTGCAGATATACTGTAGCCGCGTAGCACCGGATAATTTCTCTGTCTCTAGGTTGGGTCGGGTCAATCCGACTGTTTGACTGGTCAAACAACGTACTGACATGGCAGCCACGTGGCATTGACGTGGCAAGTGCGTGGCAGACACGTGGCGTTGACGTGGCAGCTACATGTCGATGGCGTGGCGCTGACGCGGTGATGACGTCACCGTCACGCGCAAAGGGACTCTCATTCTTTCTTCTGTCGTCTGAGACTGGAATGACGCGCCGGTGCTCTTCACGACGCGTGTGTGAGAGTGGGATTCATGCGCCTTCTTCAGGTGGCGTGTGAGGGTGTGTGGAAGCTATTCTGGGGCTCTGCTTTGCAGTTTTGGACTTCTCTTGTCGAAAACTTCCTTCCGGTATGCTCAAAAGTGAATTTCGAGCAACTTGATTTATGGGCAATTCTGAAAAACACGCCTTATTTTTCTGAAAATCGACCAACGAGGCTTTAATTCCACTTGTTAGGATTAAGGCACACCAGAAATCAATCACATAAAAAAAGAGATAGGAAATTTATGTGGTTCGGCAATAGCTTACGTCAACGGGAGAGATATCTACTATAGAATTTCCTAGAGGGAGTTTACAATGCTCACACCTCACTCTCTCTCTATAGCACTCTCACTCTCTTATACAGATTATACACTCTGTGTCTCCTTATTTTTCAAACCCTCCTCTTCACCTCAATTTATACACAACTGAGGGAATACAAAGTCAAGAAAAATTATTGGGTTGCCAACTGCCAACTACTATCTTTCCTCTTTGGCTTAGAGCAAACCAGCCAACCTCCAATTACTCCTCCACGTGGACTGGAGCATCTAACATTTATTTCAAATTTTGTCTAGAAGAAAACACAAGAAGCTCCCCCAGGCCGGACATCATTTTCTCAATTATTTCACAAATCTGTGAAACTTAAATTTGACTTGTTTGATTTGATCATTCTAGAATTGTTTTAAAAATTTATAGTGCAAATTATCATTCTCACCCTCTGACTTTTATTCTTCTATTTTTATTCTTATGTTTTATTTTTTACTTATTTAAAATAGTTGGTGACCGAGAAACACATTAAAATAAGAGTGTTTTTTTATTTTATTTTTATTTTTTTTTATACATGGGCATTAAAACAAAAGTTAGAAATCTAATACTTAATCAATGTAATTAGAAGATATTTAAAAAAACAAGGGAAAAAATTGTTTGCACTCCAAAATCTTTGGACTGGAGAGTGTTGTTCGAGTCCATAGGGCTCATCCGGAGTTTTATTTCGATAATCTGAATAATTTATTTTGTAGAATCCTTCATGTATATTACTCACAAAAAAAGAAAAAGAAAAAGAAGAACAATCTAATAATTACAATCTGTTCAATTTATTGAAATGTCTCAAAAAAATAGACGATAAGTATATTTTTTAAAATAGACTATCTTTTTTTTTTCTTTTTTTTTGTGACAAACACAATAAATTAAAGAAGTTAGGGTTATCGGATTGAATATTATTATTATTTTTTTGGTAGATGATATACATGAAAGATCTTAAAAAATGAATGGTTTAAATTATCGAAATAGAACCTGTGACGGGTCTCACGAGCCCAAATAGTATCTGGACAGAAGGATAGTCCAGCCCCAAAAACAAAGTGAAACTATGAGAGTGTAATTACCCTGGAATATATTGTTTTTTAAAATAAAAGAAATATGGTATGCAGTTAATCCGCAAGATCATTGTGAAAGTAAAAATTCTTATTGTACAAATTGAAAAACAAGAAGCCAAATGGAACACTAGTTTGTAAAATTAAAGGAGAAATCAGGCTTTGGGATTGACCTTTTATGTCTTAGTAGTTAATTTTCACAAGTTTCTATCAGTCTCCTGCTCTATTTTTTTATTTTTTTTTTCCTTTTCTTTTGTTGATGGGGACTCATGTTCTGTTTTTCACCCTTTAATTGTTGTGCTTACGTGAAAATAAAATTCTAATAAAATAATCATTTCATTTCAATGATCAAACATGAATAATGTTAGATTTGTCACATTTTTATATCACTTTTAATCTACCCCATTATGTTTGAACACTGCTTTGAAAATAGATAGAATCTATTATCTGCATTCCACAGAATTATAATGCTTTCGTCTCTAACACTGATTATTTCTTTCAAAAATTGCAGATCAGTTGGTTAGTGACTACAACTGTACGTATTCTCCCTTGTCCATTCATATTTGTTTCAAAGTCATTACAACCTTTAAGAGTGAAATTTTTGTAGCGGAAAATATTTAGGGATAATTCATGTCGTTGTGATAATAGTCATTAAAAAGATGTTGTGAAAAGTAAAAAACATGGCTTTTAGTGACAAAAAATTTATAAATGTCGCTAATACATGCATTTTAGTGACAAAATAATTTGATTCCAAAAAAACATTTAGAGACAAATTTTGGTTGTAAAATGATAATACTAGCGTTCAAATTTCGTTGTTAAAAATATAATAATGATACTTTCGGCAATAAAAAAGGTTTTTTCCCTACTATGAAGCACATGTATGGGTACGAGTACTGGTACTGGTACGATACGAGTACGTCGATACGATAAAATCCAAAAAATGTAGGGTATGGGTACGGCTTGGGCTTGGTACATTTGTAAAAAAATATTTCTTTTTAATTTAAAGTATTGCAAAAATTAATTAAATAGTTTAATTTGTTAAGATTCAACTTATAATTAACATTTAATGCCAATATATTAAATAACTTACAACATATAATTAACATTTAATGCCAAAAGTAAAGGTATAAATCAAAATTAAATGTCAATATATTAAATAACTTACAAACCATAGTTTAATTTTAAAATCATGCCAAGTATAAAAGTAAAAATAAAAAAGAAGTCTAATGGCAAGAGTTTTATCTCTGTAGTAGAAGAAAATATTATTTCAACTGAGATACAGTACGGCTTGAGTATATACTAGGTACATCTGGGTATGCCAAAAATTAAGAAGAAAAAATTTGAGTACGTATTTTGTGTACCCAGTACGTATACCGTACGAGATACCATACATCGGTAAGTACCCGATACGAGTACGACTTGTTTTCCCTAACAAGTACTTTTATCTTTAAATTTTAATTTTTAAAATCTTAATTTATTGTGGTGAGCAATCACATAATATTTAATTCAAAAGTTGTTTGGAATAAAACAATAAAACCTCCTTATTCATTTTCAAAATTTTATCACTAAAAACTTTGTTTTTGACTTTTCAGAACAACATTTTAATTTTTAACAATTATTCTTGCAATAACAGGAATTAATATCTTTTGCAATAAGATTTTTACTTTTAAGGATAAAAAATATTCATTGCTAAAACTCTTATATGGTGTGGTGCAATTGGTATGTTCAAATCGTGGATCTCATTCGGTTACTTTTCTCATTCCTATCAAGACGCTTTTGATCACTTTGATAATTAAGACTAATGGAATATTTCATTATGGTTAGTTTTAAGGCTGTGTGTCTTTCAAGTTCAAGTTCCATATAAGAGTCCTCTGGATTGCCAATGTGAGTTCCTTCTTCGTTTCTGGATTTTAGTTTAATTTATTTGTAATTTTTATGCATGTTGGCTGATTTTTGTTTATTTTTCTTATAGATCAGTATTGGGGTTACGAGCTCAAAATCATAGGTAAATCACTCCCCTTTTAAATTGGAAAAAGTTGTTTTGTCAATTGATTTTAAGGTGGAATAGGGTTGGGCATGACCTGATGGGATGTCAAGCTTGTTTTTTAAGACTTAAGATTGATATTTAAGCTCACAAAGTTAGGTTAGGATGACTTTTTAAGCCTGCTTATGAGAAATGTTATATATCATATGTCCCGTAATTACGACATTTATAGGATTTGAGAAATGTTATATATCATATGTCCCGTAATTACGACATTTATAGGATTTGATTATGATTTATTATGGTATTAATTATGACTTAATTATATAACTTGTTTATACATATTGTGATGTTAGTTATGACTCATTATAATATTATTTTGGTTATGATCCAAAAACTTGTTAGTGATATCTTATATGGTATTTGGTTATAATTCTTTTTTTTTTATAATAATTATAACAACCATAGAATTGAGTTATTATCCACAAATGTTATTACTTGTTTATAGTACACACATTTTTGCCATAATATTACCTATTAATATGTATATACTTATAGAAAATTTATTTATCTAAATTTACACCTAGGATATATATGGCTTGATATTTATTTTTTGTGGATATAAAATTACTAATTCTGAGTTTTATAATATTAGTTTTTATTTAATCTATGGCCTTGTTTGGTGGGCTCAGGATTGTAATACTATTTTAAGGTTGGATTTTGGATGAGACTTCTAGGCCCAAAGTCAGACTAGGTTGGACTTGGGCACAAGAGTGTTATATACATTTCTTAACTTAAACTCGACTGAGTTTGAACCTAACCCGATATTTGTCCACCACTAAAGTAAATACCTCCAAATTCTAACAATGGCAAGACAAAAAAATGATTTTTAATTTGTCATCTTGTGATTTTTATATACAGGAGGAATCCTTTTGGCAATCCTTTTGGCAAGAATTCTATTTGGCTTATGTGCTTTTGCATTTTTAATCCGTAAGTTTAAGAGAAGGCATTTATCGATGTTCGATAACATTGAAGGTTATCTGCGAAGTCAAAATCACCTCATGCCAATTAGCTACTCATACTTACATATTAAAAAGATGGCCAAAGGTTTCAAGGACAAGTTGGGAGAAGGAGGCTATGGTTCTGTCTACAAAGGACAGCTTAGAAGTGGTCACCTTGTAGCGATAAAAGTATTGGGCAAGCCCAAAGCCAATGGACAAGAATTTATCAATGAAGTTGCTACCATAGGAAGGATTCATCATGTTAATGTGGTTCAGCTAATTGGATATTGTGCAGAGCGATCTAAGCGAGCTCTTATATATGACTTCATGCCAAATGGATCTCTAGAAAAGTATATATTTTCTCAAGAAGGATATATACCATTGAGTTGTAAGCAAATGTATGAGATTTCTCTAGGAGTGGCTCGCGGGATTGAATATTTACATCGGGGTTGTGACATGCAAATTTTGCATTTTGATATCAAGCCTCACAACATTCTTCTTGATGAGAATTTCACTCCAAAAGTTTCCGACTTTGGGCTTGCAAAATTGTATTCAACTGATGATAGCATTGTGACTTTGACTGCAGCAAGGGGGACAATGGGTTATATGGCTCCAGAGTTGTTCTACAAAAACATTGGAGGCATTTCATATAAAGCTGATGTTTATAGTTTTGGAATGTTGTTGATGGAAATGACTGGTAGGAGGAGGAATTTGAATGCATTTGCTGATCATACCAGCCAAATTTACTTTCCTTCTTGGATTTATGATCAATTCAAAGAAGGAAGGGACATAGAAATGGGAGAGACTAATGAGGACGAAGGGGTGATGGTGAAGAAGATGATAATAGTGGCTTTGTGGTGCATACAAATGAAGCCTAGTGACCGTCCTTCGATGAACAAAGTTGTAGAAATGCTTGAAGGGAATGTTGAACAATTGCAGATGCCTCCCAAACCTTTTCTATGCCCACAAGAGATGCCAACTGAAGATCATAAAATTGACACAAATCCTACAGATTTGCCTATGCCATCAGGTGAATGCACAAATTCCATCACTTTGAATGTAAGTGAACCTTAAATGGTTTCATATCAAACGCTTCATATTTAAGTAAATTATAATTGTTGGCATCCTCTGTTGCTTATGTATTATTGAGGCAGCCTTATCAAACATATGATGGGGAAACCATAGATGCATCATTAGATTAAATTTTTTTACGAAAACTTAGTATTTCGTTATTAGATAGCTTCCTTTGGATTGCATTTCAATTTTTCTTGAAAGATTTTCCTAGTTAAAACTAGCTTGATTAGAGCTATGCAAGTATAAATTTTTGTTTAATTTGGATTCATTTGTCATTGTTTAGAAATATTGCTTTGACACTGTACAATAACACCTAAATTTTTTAATTGTAAGTTATGGCATTTACAATAAAGAGAAATAAATTAAATACACAAATTATAATTTAAACGTGATTCGGCAATATGGTTACGTTCATAGAGGGAAGGAGATCAAATCAACTACATAGAATAAAAATTACAGAACTTTGAACATCTGAACTTAACCAGTCTACAATAAAAACTCTAACAAAAAATATAACATATATGATATACCTCTAAAACTTTGGATCAGACCTCAGACCTTTGCATGGGCCTAGGTGAAGCATGATTTGGTTTTCTACTCTGATTTTCAACTTCAACCCTCCACTTCTATGAAAAGCCCCCTACAGTAATTTTGAATGTGTAGTAAAAATATAAGACAAACAAAAGATTTCACCTTCAACCAAAAAAGTAAGTTGGAAAAAATAAAGATGAATTTTCCATAAAAAATCTTTTAAAAGATCAGCATTTTATAGGATGATAATAACTAGGAAAATATTTAGTTACATTTTTTTCTTTTTAACCTCATTAATCCTTGGAAATTTGTACAGATTTAGTGGTCTTGCTTTGCTTAGGTAGTTGACTTGTAAGTCAGCTTCCAACTTTCTATCTCAAATCTGTTTGAACAGCTATTTTTTTTTTACTTAGTTCTTAATTCTACAGTGATTAGCTGCTTTCACTTTTTTTTCTTTTTCTTGCATTGTGTCCATACTCGACTCTCCAACACTACTAATGCTTTAGAATATTTTTTTTTAAAAAAAAAATCTTTATTTTATAGTTTTTAGGATAATGACAAATGAAAAATGAAAAATGAAAAATGAAAAATAAATTTATTTAAATGAAAAATATTTTTTAGTTTTAAAAAATGTAAATTATTTTGGAATTAAAGTTTTAACAATTCCATCCTAATCACTCTACTAATATGATTTTTTTTCAATAATAACCTATACTCAAATATTTAAGAGAAAAATTATTTAAATTTTCAAAACAACACTGGTGAGTTCAAAAAACATCCAAAATTATAGCAATACTATCTGTGGTGTAGTGTGGTATAATTTGACAATAAAATTATAACCAAATTGTGGATGGTGACAAATTTATTCTCGGTAATCAAATCGTGATTTAGACAACTTGTTAGTTAATTGAAAAATAATTTTTAATAATTATCAAACGTATGCATATAATGTATAATACTATTTTACATAATATTTTGTATACATATTGTGGGGACATAATTTTTGAGTGACAAACACGTGGCCGAGGTGTCACCAAAGTGTCAGTCGGGGTGCCACATGTCCTGGTCATAACGTCGAGGTGATCTCAACTAGGCCGGGGTTATCTGCGAAGATACCGAAATCCGGGATAAGCGGATAAGGGACAAGAGTTCTAGAATGAGAGAAGACTTCAGTTTTTACATAATATTTTGTATACATATTGTGGGGACATAATTTTTGAGTGACAAACACGTGGCCGAGGTGTCACCAAAGTGTCAGTCGGGGTGCCACATGTCCTGGTCATAACGTCGAGGTGATCTCAACTAGGCCGGGGTTATCTGCGAAGATACCGGAATCCGGGATAAGCGGATAAGGGACAAGAGTTCTAGAATGAGAGAAGACATCAGTTTGGATAAAGATAAGACTCTTAGAGAGTTTATCCCAATCCTACTGGGAGTCCAAGATTAGCTGTAATCCAAAGTCCATTGAAGCTGGGCTTCTATTGGGACTAGGTTTATGTTGGCTATAAAAGGAAGGCACCCTCATGGGTCTAGGGATGCTTTTTATGTTCTGAATAGTGAGTTAAGCACTTTTGCTATCTTTGAGAGATAACTGACTTGATCGTCGGAGTGCCCCCTGGTGGACGAACCACTGCCGGAATCTCTTCTTTTTGTGACAGGTTGTTCGGGCTTAATCTATTCTACCAGTCTCCAGCTGAGTGTTTGATTGGCAGTGTGGTCGGAAATCAACACACACACATATAACACTAATTTACAACAAATTCCACATCTCAAATATCACTCACATTTATTTTTAATTTTATATTTCATTGGAAATAAATAAATATGTATTATGTATATATATATATTAACTATGGCTGAGGGTATGGTCGTGCAAAATACTACCCAATCTGCTAAAGCTGGCCAATCCTCACTGATTCATCTACTAACTGTGGATTAAATTTTGAAATTTATATTCGCCTTCAAAACCACTCCGTTACAGTTAATGCTTACATTTTTTTAATCTCTAATGAAATATCAAAGTAAAAATGAGTGTGAGAGAGATTAATGTAAAATTTGTTGCAAATTAGTAGTTATATTTATGAAAAATTAGTTTGTATTATGTATATGAAATATGTTATGCAACTTAGTGTTATATATTATGCAAATAGTTGATAATTGTTTAAGAATATTCTTCAATAAACTAGCAAATTGAAAATGCTCCAAATTGTCCAAACCATGATTTGATTATTTGCCAATCTGCTATTCACGGTTTGATTTATAATTTTACTCTCAAACCGACCAAACTGCATCGCAGACACCCTTAGTAGAAGGGGATGATTTCATAGACGGATTATAAATTTGAAATTAATATCAAATCAACTCGCATTTAGCATGTGAATCGGTGCAAATTAAACAATTTTAGCTAATTTTGCATAAACTTACTCTCCAATTTGATCATCTTCATTCTATTCATGTAATGAAAGATTTTCATTTCTTATCTAATGATTATGAAAAATGAATGTAAAATTATAGTTATTTTAACAATAATATTTGGTTAACACAAAATCCCTAGCCCAACTATGCCCAAATTACGTGGCACCAATAAAAGCAAAAAAAGACCCACGTGTTTCTTTGCTCTGTTCATCTACACCAACAGTCCTTTCTCCCTCTCTTCTCTCTTTCTCTTAAACAAACAGTGGTCTCTCCCCCCTCTCTCAGATATGAATTGTGAAGAAGAAAAGAAAATTGGAGAACTGATCTCTACACCATCGCCGTCACTTCTCCGCCAACTATTGTGAACCACCTGTTGGAAAAGATAGATTTTTGGTGACTTTAATTAAATATTAAAGTGGGTCCCAACCATCTATTGTGTTGGGTCCAAGTGCGTCTAGATACTTTGCAATGAGATCTTTACACCACAAAAAGAATGGCAAAAAACCATTGAGAATTGAATGATGAATTGCCTCATGAAATTAGCTTCATAAAAGAGATATTGTGATTAGTGTGTAACATCTATCCCACATTGATTGTAGAGGAATGCATTAAAGAGTATTTAAATCCTTTCTTTTGGCCAAAGGGTGTGAACCCTTTGGGCATCCAAAATTTTCTACTTTTCGAAGGAAGGGAGTTATGGATGCTTCATAAGATGGGTTTGGGCCAAAACTATGGTCCAAGTTAGTTCTGCAAAAAGTGTCGTGCGTGCCACCCACCCGTCCACCCGCCCAGTCTGGGTTCGTGGTCCGTGGTCCTTGGTCCTTGGTCTTTTGGCTTGAGGCTATAGGGCTTGGGCTTGGGTTGGTGGTCCACCAAACTCTATATATATTTTTCCCAGACCTAGGGTTTGGTGTGGTCGCTATAGGATTATTATACATTTGTGTATAATATGTTTATAACTCCTACAATATTGCAGAGGTTAGTGGTGCATTAGTGACCAGCCATAAAGGCTAGATGCTCCTCCTCTCTCCCCTATACATGTATAAATTGTGACCCCTCCAGTCTTTTTGGGAACATTCTTGACCATGTTCGATTCTAGGTTAAGTGATGAGACTAGTTTGGAATTAAATTTCCAATTGAGGGATTTTCTAAGGGTTAAGTTTAATTTCTGGAAACACAAAAAGTGATATTTTATTGTCTTTTTCAGAAATGGCAACTGTCACCAATGTTGTTGCTGCTGCTGCTACTGCTAATGTTGGTGGGGCTCTGAACCCCGGGGCAATTGACTTGCCAACCCAAATTGTGACCTCTGTAGTCAACCCCGGTGTTACTCTAATTGTTTCGGGAGGACCACTTAGTCACCATGAGCGCCCAGAGAAATTTGCTGGGGTGAACTTCAAGAGATGTCAGTAAAAGATGTTGTTTTACTTGACCACGCTAAACCCCGCAAAGGTTCTGAGCGAGGATCCTCCAGCCATGGCAGAGAATGAGCCAGATAGGTAGAAAGTCATAGCACTTGACACATGGAAGCAAACAGACTATCTTTGCCGGAACAACGTGTTCAACAGCTTGGCAGACTTACTTTATAGTGTGTTTTGTGGCAAGAGCTCAGCAAAAGAGTTATGGGAATCTCTAGAAAAAAAGTACAGGACTGAGGATGCCCGGGCAAAGAAATTTATGGTTGGCCGATTCCTGGACTTTAAAATGGTAGATTCAAAAACTGTGATAAGCCAAGTCTAGGAGTTCTAAGTGATCTTGCATGAAATTCATGTTGAGGGAATGCTTTTGAACGAGTCATTCCAAATTACTATGATCATTGAGAAACTTCCCAATGGTTAGAAGGACTTCAAGAACTACTTGAAGCACAAGTGCAAGGAAATTCTAGTTGAAGACCTGATTGTCTGACTCCGAATTGAAGAGGATAATAGAAAGAAATGAAGGAGTACCTCCTCAGTGAAGGCAAATGTCATTGAGCATGGCAGATCTTCTGGGGTGAGGAAGAAGCCCCCTATGAACAAGGGCTCAAAGCTAGGGCCAAGGGGTGGTGTTGCAAAAAAACGGGCATACAAGCTGTAGGAACTTGGTTATCGATTCTTAGGGAAGTGCTACAACTGTGGTAGCAAGGGGCATCAGGCTAGTGACTGCCGCAAGCAAAAGAAGCCATACAAGACCAAACCTCGTGCTCACATGGCAACTATGCAAGAGCACTCC